TGACGTCACAGCCCCCGCCCCGGCGCCCGTCCCACCCCCTCGCCGGGAGGCAGGCTCCGCGCATGCGCAAGCACCTCCCCCTGGCTCTGGCTCCGCCTCCGCGGGGCGCGCGCTGGTCCGGGGACGTCAGGAGCTTTGCGGGTTCTAGCCTGGTCTGCCTCTGGCCCCTGGGGAATGGGTTTGCGCCTCCAGGATCTCTCTTCTAGTTGGGGCTGGGGAACTTGTTCGCGGGCTGCATTTGCAGGCCTTATTTTATTTAGATTAACCAGATTGTGTTTATTTGGGGTGCCTGGGGGTCGAGAGGGAGAGAGGCGATTTAGGGACCGTGAAAGCTCGCCATCCCTTAGCATTACCTGGTCTGAGCCAAAGCCAACAGCCTGGAATACTAGAACTGACACTGCCTATCCATCAAGGTCGCCGAGCAGGTCGGGGAAGCACAGAGAGGGCCCTGTCATCTCACATTGTCATCATGTACTGCAACGAATAACATCCTAGATTCCTGCCCTCTGAGACTCTGGGTGATTATCTTGACAGCTGTTTCTGTCGCTCAAATAACACCACCGCCTCAAAGCTAACTGAATGCAAATCCCCCTCCCCCTCAAGATCTGTCCCTGCCTAGCTTTCCAGTCACATCTCTTATCTCACCCCCATCTCCAGCCACTGTCTTTTCTCTTCCTGCTTTTGCATTACTGGATGCCAAGAGCCAGTCTCTAAAAAGAGCACCTTTCCAAGGAGAAGTGAAAATTCCAGGGTCTTTGGCTCTGGCCAGGTAGCTCAGTTGGTTAGAGCATCATCCAGATACACAAAGAATGTGGGTTCATCCTGGATCAGGACATATACACAAGAATCAAATAATGAATGCATAAATAAGTGGAACAACCAAAAAAGAAAATTCCAGGTGCATTTCCTTCATCTGCTTCCCACAGATGCCCTTGCTCAAAATAGTCCCAAAGATTGTAACAAGCAATTTAGGCAAAGACGTTTATAGCAGCACTTTCCAATGAGCCACACACTGAAAATATCCCAAGTGCCCCACAACAGGGAGATGGTTAAGAAGCTACATCCTGTCCATTTCGTGTAATACTATATGGCTGTTTAAATGATCATTATGGGAACGAAATGCATGCCTGTAAACAGGTATATGAAATCATGGTAAGTAAAAAATCAGAACCCCAAATAATCAGTATGTATACTGGTTAAAGTTATACGATCATTGGTGTACCCTGAAAAAGATTGGGCGAATTTAGTATAACAGAAAAAGTAAATCATGTCAATTGATGGAATTTTTATTTCCTGAAATGTTGTGGAGGTGTTTGAAAGAAATTTGAAACACCTGTTTTGCTGTTCGTGGGTGCAGAATGTAATGGAAACAGCAAGCATTATCTATTAAATTTCCATTTGCTTACTGTTTACGCTTCAGGTATCAAGATGTCCTTTATGTCCTTATACAGTTATTTGCTTACTGGACCTCTCTGGGGCTAGATGGGGCTGTGCGATTTATTTGGCCCAGACAGACCTGAGCTCAAATCTCAGTTCTACCACCTGCTGAGTACAGGATCCTGAGAACCTAACTCACCTTCTCTGTAAACTGGGAGTCGCTCTGGTGGGATTGTTGTGAGGATTAAATGCAATGAATGATGCAAAGTGGCAAAATGTAAGTACCAGGCCGAAACCGGTTTGGCTCAGTGGA